AATTCTGAGATACTAAGTCGGAATTCTGAGTTGCTAAGTTGCAATTCTGAGATACTAAGTCGGAATTCTGAGATACTAAGTCGGAATTCTGAGTTGCTAAATTGCAATTCTGAGATACTAAGTCGGAATTCTGAGTTACTAAGATGCAATTATGAGATACTAAGTCGGAATTCTGAGTTGCTAAGTCGCAATTCTGAGATACCATAGCGTGTTTTTTTTTTACTCCCTGGCGGAAACGGGCTTCCATACTGTTCTGTATATTGTAATTGTGTTTTATCTTGTGTATTCTTCTTATTTATTGTTGTTGTCATCCTGTAAATCACTTTGAGAAGCCACCTCTAAAGGCACTATATAAAATAAAGTTTTTTATAATTATTATAAATGAATATGCTTTGCTACATTACTCTACAATGTACGGCATTTTTAATGTCAGCAATAAGCATTTAAAAACTTCCATATTAGATAAAAAGAAGTTGGGTAAAGGAAATATAAAACAATGACAGAACAAAATGACAATATATTATACCGGATGCTTAATGTCTCTTCAATGAACCACTAACATTCACAACTTGAACCTTGATTTTTTTGGTTTTGCCACTGTAAAAAAGTGAAGTAAAACCATTAAAAGGCTACAAAGAAAGTCTACAAAAAAGAGGATGTCATTCAGCTCATCTAGTTTATTTAGTAGTTAGTAACTAATTTATCAAAGGATTTTATCCAGCTTCTGACTGAAAGAAGCCAGGGTACCACGGATATGTTGCTTATTCCACACTCCTGCAACCCTTTAGTATTGTTTTATGCAGGCTAAGCAATAGATTAGTTTTGTTTAAACATGCAAACATGGATGCCATTTTCAATATTATCAGTACATTAGCCTATACCAACCTATGAATATACACTGTACTATACAGTATATATGTGAATTGAACATGCAATTTGAATTTTATGTTCCTTTACTCACACATGATGCCATACAGTAGACATGTATTTGTCTTTCAAAATAATATACTATATTTTATATATTATACATGTTATAAATATATAATATATATTTTTAAAACTGTTCTAGCAAGCATTATCATGTGACATACAGTACGCATCTTTATCCTCCCTCACTGAAGCATTTACATTTACAACTTAAAAAAAAATTACAGTTTAAATAACAAGGTGGTACACAATAAATATCAAACTCATAGTTCTAAATATAGTGTAATATACAGTATATATTCATATGGATTTGTATATTAATTTTAAAAACAAAATGCCAATACCAATGTAACCTAGAATTGTAATTCTTGGATAAGAATCCTTTTTTTTCTCAGTTATTAACTTTGTCAATTTACTTGTTTTTTTTTCAGGCAATTACAGTCTCTGTCCTACTGCAACTATGCTTTTCTGTTGAAGAAGTAGTACATGTATGTACAGTACTTGTAGATACAATAGGTTATTAGCAAGAGCTATACTGGATTGTCATCTATTGCACTGTGAACATAACCTTTGATGCATAAAATTAATTCTGGATAGGGATGGAATCTGCCTCAAAAGTTTCAGTTATCAGCAGTGCCAATTTGTTTTCTGACTGCTTGCACTGTCAGTCAGTCATACAATGTGTACATGAATGTGCTATGAGGCGTTTTACTCTTGTGATGGGATTCTATTCTTTCTGTAGAACCATCTTCCTAATGTTTCAATGTGACTGCAGTAATGCAATACTATGCTATTTTATCAACAAACCCCTCTTTCCTCAAAAGTGTTGTGATTGCATGCAAGACAGAGCTGCACAGGCAGAGATACAGGAGCACATCACTTCTCAGTTTGAACAGGAACTGTATGTGGTTTACTACCACATAGCAACTGAAACTCATTGTTGATCGCAGTCACCTATGTGAAACATTCTGCCCTATATCAGCCATAGAAACAAGAAAAACACTTGCTTTTCATTCATCACACTTTTGAACTTTCCGAGCTAGCAAAAACTAGTTTTTGATAGTAAAATTGGCTAACATTATTGGCTAACATGTGAACTATTAGCACACCAAAGCATCAGATTTATATAAAATATAAGAAATACAATATATACAATCATTACATATGTGACTTTATTTGCTAACATGCTGGAATTTAAGTTTGGATTTGCACTAGCAACTAATCCCTTACTAGTCCAAAAATATGATCAACAATTTTGTCTTTTCTCAAATTGACAACTGGAGTGCGCTGCTCACTGAGGTACGTAAATCCACTCTGAACAAATTTCATTTTATCCAGAATTCGGTTGCTAGAATCCTGACTAGGTCTTGTGTAAGTTCTGGAGTCCTTACACTGGCTTCCTATCAGGTTTTGTGTCGAATTCAAAATTCTCATGCTCATCTATAATGCTAATTTCAAATCAGGACTCAAAACCTTCTTCTTTAGAAGGACTTTTATTTAACTGCATTTTCCTCTTTTCTTTCCCCTGTATTCCAAAGCCTTATTATAATTGTGCAATTATGGTGTCTTCTTTCATTGTGATTTTGTACTGTAAAGCACTTTGTAAAGCTACTTTTAAAATCTAAAATAATAATTATTACTACTATTAATATTCCATGACCATTCTGCAAGAGAACGAAGGGGACCTGAAATAACAACAGATCAAAGAATATTGTAGAAATCTGGCCATTTGGTTTAATAACACAAATCGTCTCCTTACACTCATGTTCACAAAATCAACTGCGATTTAATTATTTTTGCTTGGTAAATAAAGAGAGGCATTTGCTTTAAAGTGAAATAAAGTGGGAGTATACTCAGCTGCTTTTTTAATCTGCTGCAGATTTGGTCATATAGGTTTGAGAAGGAACCAAAGCAGAAGGCTGAAACAGAGCACAGCTTAATCATTGTGCCATTGAAAAGGGGACACATTCGTGAGCAATGAAATCCCATATTTTTTTAAAGGCTTTTAAAAACATCCTGTAAAACAAGCCAGCAAATCCCTTTTGAGTGACAATAAGTATTCATTATTATGATCTCCAGTGGAACACAATTGTCTCATGGCAGATATGTTAATGTGTAAGGACATAAGCCTTTAATAGATTGTCTCTTATGAAAACCTTCTCCTGAAAATAAAAGTGAATATTTGTGCATATGTACTGCAACATTAATCTAAAATCACATTACAGTTTGAAAAGTATTTAGTGTGCCTTAAGTAACATAATTATATAATGAAGTAAGGTGAGAAGTAATGCAATCAAACAGGACTTTAAAATATACCATGTGATTAATCTAAATTCATCGAAAGAAAATTTGAAAGACCACATTGTTTCCTGTAAACTGCAAGTCTACAGAGAGAAACATAGAGAGGAAAAAGGTTAAAAAAGAAACTGCTGAAACAAGCAAATGAAGCCAATGAAGGTAAACGAATGAAAAAAAAAACACTTACTTCAAAAACAGTCCATTGTTCAACAACAATGGCATCATATGCCTGTGCTTCAGAAGAGTCCCCTTCAGAGCAATCTTGAAAGATGAAAACACCCTCAACAGACTTGGATAAAGAATCTGTGGACAGATATTAATCCATTAAATATTTAATTTTCAAATACGTCATTTCTTTTTGACATAAAGCTCTTTACTCATCACTTGGATTTCACTACTGACAAATCAGTTTAACTTTTTATGACATGCTGTTATATGAAGCAGGAATGAATTACTTACTATAATTTATGTAAGCATTTTATGCTGTAGACACAAAAGCATTTTCACAAACAGTAATCATAGGTTTTAGGTTTGCTGAATGCCAAGCTTCACTTTATTGTCTACAGTATTCCATATGGACAAAGTCATATGGATATATAGATTACCCTTTGTGTGCATTTCATAATATTCCTCACACTATCAACAATGTTTTCCTAAACTAAAATTGTATTATAACCTATAATATAATAATATAACTAATTATATTCTAATGATATAATATTATCTAATTATATAATAATATAAACATTATATAGTAATATGACTCTCCTAATTTCTTTTCACCATAGTACTAGTAATCAGGGACTGGCCCTCTGGTTTTGTTTCCATTTCTAATATTAATTATTAAATTGAACTAATAATTTGTATTTAAGTCAAATTATCTGCTTTTTAAAGATCTTATTCAGTGGCTAATTAAAAAGTATGTGTAACCCCTGCAAGATTCTGATCCCAAAGGCCAAGAATTGTCCAAGCCTACAGTTTGTAAATTCTTCAAAAAGAAAATCTTTGAAATAACAAAAGGATCATGAAAAAAAATCAGTCCATTGGCATAAACCACAAATTTGCATTTGAAAATTAATGACATGCAGTAATGCAAATTATTTCCTATTTAGTGTTCCTCAGTGAAGTATGTTAATCAGTACTCTACAGTATAACTATCTGAAAAGGTTTTTTGATAGTTGACTGCATGAAAATGTCAAAAGTAAAAAGGAAAGCCATATTGCAGTAATAGCCTAATGTCAAACGTTATCGCAGCTCTTATTTTTTCATCTTTTCCCTTAAACTACCACCAGTTACTGGATATACTTTTTTGCCAATACTTGAAATCAGCATCTTATATAATTTTAACTATTTAACACACTTTTGTTTTTGCATAAGTAGCCTGTTAGGAACATTCACACCTATTTGATGTTACAGTAAAAATGTCCTGTCACTAGATCCGATGCATCCAGGAATTGCAGTCAACTGCAATTTGGTTTATATCATTCATTAAGAAATTATGCAGTGAGGTCAGAAAGAGAAACGTTCCAAGCTCCCTGCAGCTCTCAAGCTTCTTTTTTGACATTGTTTAGATAACCTGTGTTCATGGTCTTTTAAAGTGACTTTCATCAGATTCTAAACATTTGCAAACAAATTCTCTTTGTATAGCCTTAGTACAGTATCAATCAAGATTTCATTATACAGAATAATAATAAATCAAGACAAAATGGATTTCACTGGTGACATGGCTGCTGTGCTTCTATTTAAAGCATTTTTTTATCTTTCTGAAACCTATTAAGCAACCCCCAATAGCTTAAAGAGATCACTCTGCTTTTTTGTGGAAATATGTTTTTGTTCCATACATCAGACAACCTCGTTTAGAATCTAAATGGAAGCTGAGATCTGCACACAAATCAGCTTGCTTAGCAATCATTCAGCAGAATACAAAGTGCTCAACTACAAACGACAGTATCTTTCTTCTCCTGCAGTCTTTTAAATGCTTTTTCCACTGAAAAAGCAAAACGCTGATCTGTTAACAGGAGGAAGCCCTGAAGGTTCTATATTACTGCAATGAAAAATGTGAGACAGTCAAAACAATGCTGACTGTAAGCAAAAGACATCAATCCACTAAGAATCCTATCAGATGATGCGATTAAAAAATACATATGCTAGCAAGTGATCAACAGATTTTCCTCTGTACTAAACAACCTGGTACCAAACTATTTTAGTGATAATACTATATATTAATCAATCCGATTAGGTTACAGCAATAATAATAATAAAAGGGCATGTTGACTCACATCCAAAAAGCCTTCGTCATACAAACCCAATAGCCAGCTAAAGCTATGAATAGTCAGGTTGTAAGAGCTTTTTTCAAACATCCCAAGTGTTCACACCTGTACAAAAATTGTAATGGCTCATGTACAGTACAGTGGTGGCATCAGGACTTTTGTTGGGTACTTTTTCAAATGCTTGTATAGATGTACTATCTCCCCTATTGTAGTTAAATTTTAAATTATTTCATTTTTGTCTAATTCCAACCACTCTTTCGTCTACTCAGCTACATTGCGCACTGTTTATAGTCTTACTCTGCTATCTTCAGTGGGAATACTAGCTGCTATTCTCTGCCATTTCTTCTCAATAAATACAATCTTGGAACTTAATTACATTTGTCTTGAATTTTACCCTTACACAGTATTTATGATTTATTTCTTAGATGTAAATAAAGCCATTCATTTTTTCTCAATAATGTATGCTCTAGTACAATCTCTTTTTAAAAAGAAAATATGACTTAACTTGTGTATAACAAAAGATACAGACAGTTGATGACATTAGCATTACTTCACCAATAAACACTTCATTACTGAAGAACTGAATCAAATGTGAAAATGGAAAAATAAATCCCTGCTGAGCAAGGCTCTCAGACCAAGAGTATAAATCTTTACTACATCTCAGCTGGATGGAGGAATTCTTTTATAATGCGACTGCTGTGTGCATGAGAATATAAACAGAAAAAAGCTCAAAATTCAAGACCATACTACGCCCTATAACTACTGTCACATCTTCACAGCTGATGACCCTAAAGCTCAGTCATCATATTTTTTCATAGGGTAGTAACCAAGTCTTTCCCTTTTTATTTTTCTATCATATTATCAATTGCTATTTTTATCTTTTGCTTTGAATGCTGGGTATATTACAAAAATAAATTTTTAATATTGTAATGCTACTGTACATATAATATCTCAAAGTATTATGACTGCAAGCTTTAAAGCAACAAATTGTGAAACGCGTGCATGTGTCTGAATACTTTTGCAAGGCACTGCATAGTATATTTATCCACTGTCAGTAAGGGTCACAGTAAGACAGGACTGAACAGGATGCCATTTTGACCAAAGGAAATTAATGGCAAAGTAAATCTGCAAAATGTATAGGCTATATAGCTATAGACTTCACAGACAGTATTTTGATTCACCTTTTACATTTTCATATTTTTTAATTTCCACTGAAGCAGAACATAGGTTATTTATCTGCTATTAACTGTATATTTATTCAGAATTATTTATAAAAAAAATCATTCAATATAATACAAAGCAGCCCAGCACTCACGACTAATGGATTTAAACTGAATATAGATATCAAACAAAATCACAGAACATGTAAGTAAAAGTACTTTTGCACATTTTTGTACCTGTAATATCAAAGTGCTTTTGAAACATTAGTCACTATCAAAACAAAAAGAAAAAAAAAACATGGCAAAGTTAGTATTGTATGGAACTTTTCTGAGCATTAACACATTCCTGTTATTTACAATTGATGCATCCAATCAGCCTTTGGATAGTCTTTTGTGGACTGTCTCATCTACCACTCTATCTGTGTAACTACCTCTAGTTGTCAAAAGATTCAAGAAGTAACTTACACAATGTATCCAGCTGCATAATGCTCAGCAAGATATCTCCTATATGTATTCTGTCAGGTCTTTCAAGGACAATAGCATTCATTTGTGAATAAAGCACCCCAATACTTTCTCTGCCACTAAAGGTTCTCAGGTTCCACAGAAAACAGCAGTTTTGTCTTAGTTGTCAACATTTTACTCCTGAAAAACCTCTGTATAAAAATAATTTTGATGTTGGTAACAAGTTGCATCCTGTTAATTTGCAGTCACAAAAGTCCAAAAAATGATAATGACGATAGCTCAGATAGACGTGATCCTCTGCCTTTTAGGATGTGGCCTGTCTTTCTCAGGTCAGTTTCTGTGCTTCTCTGGACCAGTCTGCTGTCTGATGAAGCTGAACATCTCACTCTCTAGGCAACTTCTCTAACAGTCAGTCTGTATTCAATCATGCCAGTAGCAACCAGGTGATCTTCCTTACTCAAGTGGAGCAAGATCATATGCTTTTTTGATCTTGTGCTAATTAAAATTATGTCTTTTTGAGTGACTATAGAGACTATTCTTAATCATCTCAATTTGGCCATTTTGGTAACTATTTAAACTTAAATATCAAACACCTGACGTTTTTAAGAAATCACATGAGTCGAGGTTAGTATTTTGTTATCTGAGGGAACAATAATTGAAATACAGTATTTATTTTAAATGTAACAATGTATATGTGCACAATGAGCTAATGATATACAATTTAGACTGTTGAGTTTTCATTTTGTATCAGGATATAAAGTAGATGTAAGCACCTTTTCCACCCTGTTTTCAAATAGTCCTAACAATCTACAATGGAGTTTGGAAGGAAAAACAGAAAAAGGCTTAATAGCTTGAACTGAGGGACATGTACAAAAAAATGTTTCTCTGTTCAGAATTCATTAATGTGTAACTGCCTACTGTTTATATAGTTCACAGCCACCGCAGTCCAAACTTTTTTGTAATTGAATGTTCCTATATAAATATGATAATAAATTTGTATGGAATCTAATTTAAAATGCACTGGTCTCGAAGTGCAGACAGACAAACATGAAGCTATTAAATGAGAGTTTAAACACAGATGGTTGCTAACCCTTCTAATCCAAAGGAAATTAAACTGAGTAATCAGCATGATTCTTTACATAAAAATAGTTGAGAAATTGTGAACTGAAGGCTGTTATTATAATTAGCCTCCACTGTTTGTACAGATTTTTCACAGCTGTATCTAGGACAAAGCTAACCTGAGGAGAACAAAAAATGTTAGATAACATTTAGATAGCAAGCAAAATAAGAAGACCTGGAGTCTGATCTGGTCAAAGGATTAGGCAAAGGTGACAGAATATTTCAGTTAACCATGCAGTATTTTTAAGATGCATCTCTAAATTGGAAACACCATTTGTCAGTTCATCTCCCCCATACTGTGAGCCCCATAGCACCTACATTACATGAACTAATGGCTCTCAGACCGACAGGAATGCAAGCTTGCTCACATCAAGCATGCCGTAGGTGTCCCTGTTGGGTGGCCAATACAATACATCCATCCCATCTCTAGCAGTGCTTGACCAGCTACAGTATGTGCTGCTGTTTGAGAAATCTCTCAGTAAACAAATTACATTTATAGCCTTTCATATTCCCCTAAATATCCTGAAAACTGCAGTAAGTGTTTCTATGAGTAAAGAGGAATAAAATCTTATTTTAAGAGAAGATCCCATAACTCAATTTAGGTAAGTTAGTGGTTCTCTAACATTTCACTTATGTTGGACAGCAATTTTTTATTTCATTTCACTTTATACTGTACCATTGTCTGCTCCCAGATGGAAGTACCCATCCACCAGCGATGCTCCACTGGTAAAGTGCTGGGTCATGTGGTCGAGCCAGTTTGCTTCCACACTACAAACGCTATTGTCCTTCTTGAGGATTTTCAAGGGCACCTTCACTGAGTAAAACTTCAAAGAGTTCTGCCCGGCGTGGGGATGATTGAAAAGTGCATATGTCTGGACTCCTGCAGACAAAAACATCAAAACAAACATATGATATAATCACACACCCTCATTAACAATGTAGAAAATATTTCTCTTTATCCTTTAGTTCTACTGTATATCTAACAACCTTTGGTATGGCCTATTAGCGACTGTATTAATTATAATAAGCAACATTTTACATTTAAGAAACAGTATAAATAACCTTTTGAGACAGCAAATTGGCCTGGTATGATTAAACAGATTTTTTTTGTATGTGATACACCCAAAAGTACAGTATGGTAATAATTTTTAGTTAATTAGCATATTCAACTATCACTTTTAAAGACAGATTTATAATAATTACACCTACTTTAAGAGGCAGAATCACAGTGTCTGTTGCACATTTTGATCTTGTTAAAAGACATTTTGATCTTGTTAAACGACTGCTTCCAGAAATAATTTAATTTGAAAACAAACAGGTTAGGGACTGAGGAAAAAAAACATTCTTGACTAATTCTTTGTTTTATGAGAACGCCTAAAGCACCATACTTCATTGGATTTAATAAAGCATGCAAAGACATGCAGCTCAGTTCATATACATCCATTTTCTAACTTCAAATACAGGGTTGCGGGGGAGCAAGCAATGGGCACATGACAGGATACACTCTGGACAGGATGCCAGATCATCACAGGACACACACAGACACAAACACAAACACTCACACCTGGGCCAGAAATCAATTAACCTTTCAGTATGTTTTTAGATTGCGAACAGAAACTGGAGCACCGGGAGGAATCCCATGCAACCTTGGGGAGAACATGCAAACTCCATACAGATAGAATCACAGGACTTGAATCCTGGGCTTCAGCGGTGCAGAGTGGGCCACCACTCCATCACTATCATTTTTAAGATGTAAACCCATTTACAGTCATGTGAAAAAGAAAGTACACCCTCTTTCAATTCAATGGTTTTACATATCAAGGCATAAATAACAATCCTCTGGTCATCACCAACTTCTATAATTAGACAAATCCAACCTCAGATAACAGACAATACATAACAGATTTCACTATATCATTATTTATTCAACAAAAAGTAAGCCAAAATGCAGAAATCATGTGGGAAAAATTAAGTACACCCTTCAATAGGAATTAAGAAGGTAATTAGCAGCCAGGTGCTGCTAATCAAATGCACTTGATTAGCTGATCATTAGGAAGTGTGACCACCTCTATAAAAACAAAACTTTTGGCAGTTTGGTGACCTGGAGCATTCAGGTGTGTGTTAACACCATGCCAAGGAGAAAAGACATTAGCAATGAACTGAGAAGCAATTGTTGCTGCTCATCAATCTGGGAAGGGTTATAAGGCCATTTCCAAATAATTTGAAATCCATCATTCTACTGTGAGAAGGGTTATTTACAAATGGAGAACATTCAAGACAGTTGCCAATCTTCCCAGGAGTGGGCATCCCAGCAAATTCACCCCAAGGTCAGACCGCATAATGCTCAGTGAAATCGCAAAGAAATCCAAGAGATGCACCTAGGGATCTACAGGCCTCGGTTAACATGTTAAATGTTAAAGTTCATGACAGTACGATCAGAAAAAGACTGAAAAAGTATGGCTTTCATGGAAGGGTAGCCAGGAGAAAGCTCCTTCTCTCCAAAAAGAACATGGCAGCACGGCTTAGGTTTGCAAAGTTCCATCTGAATAAACCACAAGATATCTGGAACAATGTCCTTTGGACAGACGAGACCAAAGTGGAGATGTTTTGTCATTATGCACAATGCCATGTTAGGTGAAAACCAAACACAGATTATCGCCACAAACACCTCACACTGCACCAACCGTCAAGAATGGTGGAGGGATGATGATTTGGGCTTGTTTTGCAGCGAGAGGTCCTGGGCATTGCACTCATCAATTCGACCATGAACTCCTCTTTATACCATGGTATTCTAGAGACAAATGTGAGGCCATCTGTCTGACAGCTAAAGCTTGGCAGAAATTGGGTCACGCAACAGGACAATGATCCCAAGCACACCAGCAAATCTACAACTGAATGCTGACAAAGAAAAGAATCAAGGTGGAATGGCCAAGTCAAAGTCCAGACCTCAACCAGATTGAGATGCTGTGTCGGGACCTTTAGAGAGCTGTACATAAACGAACGCCCTCAAACATCAATAAACTGAAGCAATGTTGCAAAGAAGAGTGGGTCAAAATTCCTCCAAAACAATGTGAGAGACAAATAAACCCATACAGAAAACGATAATTTCAAGTTATTGCTGCTAAAGGTGGTTCTACAAGCTACTGAATCATGGGTTGTACTTAGTTTTTCACTCTTGGCTTCTGCATGTTGGCTTATTTTTTGTTAAATAAATAATGACATAGTGGAATCTGTTATGTGTTGTTTGTCACTTGAGGTTAGATTTACCCACTTTTAGGACCTGGTCAGGACCAGATGATTTTTTATTATGTCCTGATATATAAAACCATAGAATTGAAAGAGAGTGTACTTTATTTTTCAAATGACTGTATATGTGTTTTCTGTGTTTAATTATGAACAGGATTTAAATATTAATGTAATGTAGTTAATGTACATTTTATACATACATTGGATCATTTATTGGCTTCATTGCAGAAATGCTTTTTATCAAAAATCGCTTGCTACAGTCTTGCTGCTGAGCTCATCCATGATTCCAAAAATAATGACATTTGTATTCTGACAAGGAACCTAAATATAAGAAACAGCCTTATACATGTAAGATACACAAGGTTTTATCATATATATATATATTTGCATGTTGTGCAATAGATTCTGTTTCAGAGGAAAGTACATAATTCAGATGTTTGAGTAGATGTGTCAGTACGCGTAGGCTGCAAAGGCACATGTAAAGATATATTCCATGCTGAAAGGTAAAGAAAAGAAACAATACTTCAACTGTGGATCCTTCTTCAGGTTTGAGGGAGAGAGAGAAAGTAACGAATTAACAAGGCATGGAAGATCAAACAGTGTAGGTAAGAAAAGGGGCAGGGAGCAGTAAAGAATTAAGCATTAAGCATTAAGCATTAAGCAAATGAGAATGTGTCAAAACTCAGGGAGAACAGGAGGAAAAGGTGTGGAAAGCCAAAATTTGCAAATTAATAGGATTTAGAATGAAATGAGGCCGTCATTGACAGAAGAGGGAAAATCGGATTTATGCTGAAGGATAATTTTGCTTTCAGATGTTTTTTTCTGCAACAGGAGTTCCAAAACCCCTCTGTGAAGACAGCTGAAGAGATTAGAAAGATGTCGTTGTCGATTTCAACTCCCCATTAGAGTTGAAATGGGGAGCTATAGGTTTGGAGATATCTTTGATGCTCACAGCTCTAACATGTTCCCTGAAACAGTCTGCCACTTTTCTTGTTGTCTCACCAATGTAGATGGCTAGACATTTTCTGTATGAGATGCAGTGAATGAGAATGCTGGAAATATATGATGTCATCTGGGTGATACAGAATTGTCCAGAGGGGACTTGAATGTGTATTGTGTTGGATATATACTGTATTTGCAAGTGATGCAACAGAGTAGTGCTCAGTGTGGATGGTTGCTATGGGTGGTTAAATGTAGCTGTGAACAAGAAGGTTGTGCAGATTAGGTGGTCGGAGATACAGTATAAGATGATGGGACAGTCAGGAAAGGGTTCCAGTGGAGAATGCTCTATTGCTGAAATGGAAAGTGTACCCCATCAATCTCACAATCAATCAGGCGATTGAGCAGGTTATTTAAAGTTCTTTCCCCACTTATCCAGTGCTCTGACATTGAGCTAGAGCAACAGTGCTAGCTTCACTGTACACTTCGGTATTGTTTTCTGGTAGTAGAGAGAACAAGTTGTGGTCAGGGTGACTGGGGTCCCTGAGGATAGACCTGGCCTTCTTGAGGCATCTAACAGAGTAGATATCCTTGATGTTCGATAGCGCTCAGCCGGTAATGTTTTGAGCCAGTTTCAACACCCTCTGCAGTACCTTGCACTCTTGGG